TCGTTTAAGGCCGAGTCGACCTAGGAGAGGCCCAGGTCCAGTTTAGATATTGGCCACTGTTTATTGGTCGTGAACGGGAATGAAACTCGGCTCACCGGGTTTGGAGCGCAGTGCGCTAACCACTGCGTGCGACTGCTCCACACTGCACAGACAAACACACAAACGCCGTAGCAATAAAAAAAAGTACATCATCATTTAATGATTATGCTCATTTACCCATGAACAGCTCGCAGAGTCTCAATAATTTTTTCAGGAGAGATCCTGCCAATTATTCGCAGTGCGGGGCGATAACATTCGGTAATGTTTCAGCATCGGGATGTTTGGCCATCGCCGGGTTACAAGGAATTTATTTGTTGTAGCCATGAGAGGAAAGCAGAGAACCTGGAGGAAATCCACGCAGCACAATGGGGGAGAACATACAAACCTGCGCACAGGGGCTGTCCATAAATGACGTCACGCGATTTTTGACCCCCACTGTATGGTCACTGATGCTCTAACTTGTAAAGTCTGCCTCTGGACACCATATACATTTGGAGTTCCCACTTGCACACGATGGGGGCCCATGAGCGTGGCGATGGGGTCCGTTAGCTCGGCTCGCGCCAACAACAACAGAATCTGTAAATGACGAGACAAACCCATCACAAGAGAATGATAGTGCAGGCTGGAAAACCAGCAACACGCAAGCACGTGTAAAATCCATAATGTGTGCTCTATGTCATTCAGGAGATGAAAACGGCAAGGCTAATTATTGTAGCGCTGGATTTATTGTTTTGTGGAAACGCTTTGATTCATTTGGCAAGTTTTCACCAGGATGAGTTCCTGTAAGCAACACAATCTTATAATGCCCTGTGGTTTCATTCGCCACCGCGCACCTCTGAGTAGCGTGGTTGGTTACGTACGGCGCGAAAGAGGTTCAACATACACACACACACACAGAGTGATGATACTACCCCCCTCCCCCATTCAGAGACAGAGATATTCACCCTTTATATGGGGCCGTCCATAAATGACGTCACGTGATTTTGGACGATTTTGACCCCCCTCCCGCCATCGTCACACGACGTCACAAAAAGTCAGACCCCCCCCCCCTCAAAGATAACGTCACAAAGCTCTGCCCCCCCCCACCCCCCAAATAAATAAATAAAACATGCTTCAAATCGCTTTAAACTATTGTCATTGTAGTGCGTATTTAATGTGGCGCTGCACTCTGATGTTGTAGGAGAAAACATTTATTAAAACGTCTATTTTATTAAGTAGAACGTGTTGTATATATTTATTTAAAGTTGCGCATTTTGATGTGACGTCACATTTCTCAAATCCCCCCCCCCCCTCGTCACACATCGTCACAAATGTCTGACCCCCCTAAGTGCGTGACGTCATTTATGGACGGCCCCTATAGACCCCCCTATAGACATTTCGACTGATGGGGAAGTGCTGCTCGTGAGAACGTATTAAGGCCGATATAGCACTCAAAAGAAGTGATGTGCCCAGCAGCATGCCAAGCTGCCTTCGTCTCCCCAGTACTGTAAGTATGTTGAACTTCTTTCGCACCGTACGTAGCCAATTGACGTATGGCCAAGTTGACCAAGGTGAGGCCTAGGACCAGTTCAGATATTCACCACTGGAACTGAACTCAGGTCACGAACCTCTATTATTATTAAGTCAATGTAATGTTCTGCTCAAATGAGCACTGAGTTAGTAGTAGTCATCTCCTGTCTTGCAGCCCTGAGCCAGCCATGGAAATAAAAAAATGCCTATGGGAAGGGCTTCATAGAATAACCACTGCCGACGTGCCCACAAAGTGGTATATGTATTTTATGCACCCCAAATGGATGATAGGCTGAGTCAACCCCAAACGGGAGTTGAACTCAGGGACTTCCGATTGCGAGCTGCTCCCTCTGCCGATGAGCCACCTGGCCGGTTTGCATTTAGACAGGAAATTCAAAGGATAAATGTAATCGAAAGCCTTCCCGCCCCACCCCCCCCATTTTGACTCACGCTTACAGGTGCTGTAGTGGCTATATAATACTGCATAGATTATGGATGACACACTCGCACACATCAAACCTCTCCGCTTTCATAGAGCGGAGCCTCAAATCCCCGTCACGCTAGCTGGCCAGCAACTCAAAGCGGCCGATCAACAACCCTGGGCCACCTTCGGACACATTATTTGGTGGCGTCGCCCCTGTTGTTGCTGCTGCTGCTGCGTTGGCAGTCATGCGCACAAGCACAATTAAGAATAACAACAAAAAATACCCACCTCAATACATTATACTCTTTGCTTCTTTCGGTAAAGTCACGTAGGTGAAAAATAAAAAAGTAATAAAAATAAGTAAAAGTAAATTAATTCACGACATTTCGATTGCAACACAAGTAATCATCATCAGGTGTGAAAACCACAGCAAGAACATTTTTTACTGAAGTGGGAGAGAAGCTGGGATTAAGGAGGTTATTTATTTTTTATTTTATTTTTCACCGACGTGACTTTACCGAAAAAACCAAAGCGTATGGATCCTTGCAGTCACGAAAACTTCAAATCTAGAATCAATACATTATGTAAATAATATAAAGTAATAGGCGACGTTTCGGACAATGCTTCTCCTTCATTGCACACAGAGACGAGAGCAGGGGAGGGGGGTGTAGTAATAAGCGCTGGAGACTGCAGTTTACACCGTGGGGGCTGATAAAAAATGTATTTTTAAAACCTGTTTTCTGACGCCAAGCTTTTAAATTGGCATATAATGCAATTTAGAACGCGGGCAATATTTCAAACAAATCACCCTGAATCCAATGAATAGTTAGTTTCCTAATTGTGCAGTCGCTATTAAAGGTAACATGTATGTACATTTAACTTTTTTCGCACCGTACGTAGCCAAATAGCCAACGGAATGGAGGGAGGCACGATGACCTCATGGGAGACTCAGCCGAACGCCCTCCTCCTGCTGCCGGCTCCTCCGCGCCGCCCCGTAAACTCTGCACCGCGTTGCATCACCACATTGCCAATGGCTCCTCATCCCCCACGCACACACACACACGTGGCAGATGTCATCATCACCGATGGTGCCACCGGCGCGACTGCAGAGATGAACGTCGGGAGCAACGTGGTTCCCCACTCTGCTCGCTGCCCGCTCCCGGCGTGAGCAATGAACGGGGGACGCGACCACGGCAGCGATTGATTAATCAGCTCACACAGTCGAATGTCTGGACGAGCCCCAGACAACGAGAGGCAGAGAGAGGGAGTGAGGGGAGAGGGAAGGGAGGGAGGGAGATGCTGGCTGGTTAGACGCATGCACCGCCGGGGGATATTGCGCAGCACAGCAACGCCAGAAGGTGGGGGGGGGGTGACGTCAACTCACGGCAGCCACGTCAAGGGCGGCAGCAGCAGCATCAGCATCATCAGCATCATTCCCTCCAGAGCCGCCGAGAGCCCCCCCCCCCACCGCTCATCGCTACCACGCACGAACGCGCCGCCACCACCACGCACCGCAAACAGCAACCGCGTTTCATATTGATGGCGATGTGGCCCTTTGCTCGCGTGGCGGAGAGAGCGGTGGACGCGGCGGTTTAGCGCACTGCACCACCGAAGCCGCGCGAACCCGAAGTTCGACTCCTGGCCCCGGCTTCACTGAACAGCGACAGCGCCGAGTGATGTCGTGCGCACGGGCTGTGCACCGAATCCTCTCCGCTCCCCCCCCCCCAACGCCCACCCACGCCCGAATCGTCGTCGATGCGCAGTGACCGGCGTGGTGAAGTATGGCGAAACTCAAAACGATCCTCCGCACACAGAGGGGCCCCCCATTCATCCAGCAGTGGATTGGCAAAGGGCCACAGCGATGATAATGATTAACCCCCCCCCGTAGGCTCAACGTCGCTCACGCGAAGATGCCACCAGCTGCGAGGCAGCTGTTAATCGCACACCGCAATGTTGTCACGGGTCTAGCGCCACACAGGTAATGTGCTGGTAGCAGGTAGTTAATAATGTACAGAGAGCGCCGTAGTGGTGTTCTTGTTGTACCTATGGGGCACCGTTCTCTACGCAGTGGTTCTGTTCACACCCGAGTTGGAGCCGCTCGATATTTGCTGCTAGAACGCGTTAGAAGAGAGCTCCTGTGCAGAGCGAGCTGCTGCTGCTGCTGCTGCTCCTATACAACGGCACAATGAGGGGTGGACACAAAAATTGAAAGACTGCTGGACAAACAGTAATGGGACATGTCTAACGATCGTGACTTAACAACCAATCGCACATTGCGCGAATCTGCTGAATTAAAAGCCGAGATTCTTGGGGTTGTTGTCGTTTTCACTGCTGCGTTGAGTGCCGGTCCTATGTGAGTGAATCCACTGAATGCCATCTGCATTGCTTTGTATTGTATTCACTCCGTTGGCCATAATCCCGAATAACGCGTGTTGCGCTCCATCCACTCCTGTGTTGGGCTGTCGATCGTGCTCATCTCACGTCAATTACTCCGGCGTGAACACCGCACGGTCCGAAGGCGAGAGCGACGCAATCCGCTGCTACAATTCCCACGTGAGATGCGTTCGAAACTCGGAGTCCCCGCTACCACATCGCGTGCGTGCGTGCGTGATGCACTTAAGCCGGTGAAAAATAATACAATTAAACTTACATCTCTCTGCTCACACGGTCTGTGCCCGATTTATGCATTTAGTGCAGCGTTATTATATATACACACACACACGAGGTCGGCTTGCTGCATTGCGTATGAATTTAAAGATGAGAGATGAAATTATTGTGCACAGTTAAAAATCAAATATCCCTTCGGCTCGGATGAATCCACAGCAAACAACACGCTACAACACCAACGCTCTTAAAGCACAACAGCGCATTAGCCAAAGCAGTCCTAAACCTGCCCAGTGTAAGCCCAACAAATGAAGAAGACCCCCCCCACACACACACACCCCGTAGTCGACTTTATCCAATCCCTTGCAGCCCTTTGAACGCAAAGCCGGTAGCGGTCTCAGCGCGGGTTGTTCGTGGCACGTACCTTCTTCACTTCACGGTGAAGAGTGTGTGCAGCAGCAGCAGGAGGAGGAGGGGGGGCCCTGCTGCATCTCCTACTTCACACGCGCGCACGGTGCCCCTGACGGCGGTGATATCGGTCGTAGCAGCAGCAGCAGCTCCGGGCTGCATCAGCAGCAGCAGCAGCACTGGCGTAGCGCGCATCAGCTGATGGAACTCGCAGCCGTGCTGGGAGGGCGGTGCCCTTGACCCGTTTGGGGGCGTGGCCTGGCTGATAGTGGGCGTGGCCTGGCTGATAGTGGGCGTGGCTTGGCTGATAGTGAGCGTGGCCTGGCTAATAGTGGGCGTGGCCTTGCTGATAGTGATCGTGGCCTGGCTGATAGTGGGCGTGGCCTGGCTGATAGTGGGCGTGGCCTGGTTGATAGTGGGCGTGGCCTGGCTGATAGTAGGGCGTGGCCTGGCTGATAGTGGGCGTGGCCTGGCCGATAATGGGCGGGGCTTGGCGACTGTGGGCGTTTTTTTATGTAAATAGAAGGCGGGTGTTTTCATGTAGGGGGTGGGAGCTTCGGGTAACGAGGTGGGGCTTATCTTCTTGGTTCTTTCGGTAAAGTCACGTAGAAGGGAAATAATAAAATAATAAAAAGAAAACATAATAAAAATTGTATTTTATTATTAATAATAAAATAATAAAAATAAAACATAATACTATTTTTATGTTATTATTCTTTTATTATTTCCCTTCTACGTGACTTTACCGAAAGAACCAAGAAGATGAATCCCTGCAGTCACGAAAGCTTTAAATCGAGGTGGGGCTTGTTTAAGCACTGGGCGTGCTGCGTAGAGGGCGGAGCTTGGTTATAAGGGAGGGGCTTGTTTAGCATACAGGGTCCGGCGAGCAAAAATATAAACGTGGGTGGTAATTCTTTGAGCACGGGGCGGAGTTCATAACATACTGCTTGTGTTACCCATTAAAACTTCACCGAGTCTCAAAACTCCTTTTTAGAAGGGTCCTGTCCAGTTGCCGTGAATAGGGAGGCGATGTTGCTGCTGCTGCTGTTGTGTGTAATTCCAATTGAGTCATTTGGCCAATGGCAGCTAGATTGTATGGGGGTTTTTTTGCTGCTATGGGAGGAAACAGGAGCGCTCGGATGGAAATCCATGCAGAACACATACAAACTCTACACAGAGAGTCGGGAATCGAACCAAGACGCTTGCTGCTGTAAGACACACAAATGCTTATATCACTGTGCTGCTCTACCACCTATGCAATGGCGTGGGGGCGTGTATCAAACACAAGTGGGTGCCACCGTGGTGAGATGTTAATTACCTCGCCTGGTATGCAGGAAGTAGTGGGTTCGATCCCTACCCTGCAGCCTGTATATTTGCAAGTTTGACGGTGTCTTTCTCACCGTGGTCGCGTGGATTTTTCTCCGGGTCCTCCGGTTTACCCCTCGACATTTATAAACTTGCATTGAGAGTATTTGGCTGCAGTAAATTTCCGCACATTGTAAGCCACTTCAGGTCGCTGCCGGAAAAGAGCTACGTAGCTCGGTGGGCCTTACCTGGTCAAATAAATCATTAAAAGCGCGGCAGGGCTTACATAACATAGACTGGCTTCATATTCTTGGTTCTTTCGGTAACGTCACGTAAATAGAAAATGTATATAAAAGAATAAGATAATAAATAAATAAATAGCGCTTTTCCCCTTTTATTTTATATCTACGTGACTTTACCGAAAGAACCAAGAACATGAATTTCTGCAGTCACGAAAGTTTTAAGTCAAAATAGACTGGCTTGCCTCACAGGGTGGAGATGGTCAAATATGTGGATTGTTTTTAACATAGTGCGGGGTTTGTAAAATATTACAGCAGAGCTTGACCATTCTGGAACGGGACAGGGCCGCTTCCATATGGAGAGAGGCACACCCAATGCTGGGATAGAGACTTGGAATCTGAAGTCGTCACTGGTACGTGGATTGGTGAAAGACTTAATGTCTTAACCCACTGTTCTTTCTTGCAAGGCCCGCGGGTCACTGGCGGCCCCTGGCGATCTTTAGTGCGGTGATCTGACGTGCGGCCCCGCTGACAATACACGAAATGTGTAAACACGCCATGTAGGCGGTGTGGTCGCCCCTTACACTCAGGTATTATCGGCGAAAATTAGTGAAAAACACTGGCTTAACCCGAGACTGGTCCGGGGAAGCCTGCCGCTGTCTCCCCGACAGACCTGGTCTTCACTTGAGGACGGCTGCTTGCGTTGTGGCCGAAACGTCGTGAGAATTATTTTATAATTTTTTATTTTTATTATTTTATTATTTCCCTTCTACGTGACTTTACCGAAAGAACCAAGAAGATGATAATAAGACGTAGCTACCTGCAGGATACTTTGGACGTGTGTCTGTCTTCTCTTTGGCTGGCCCTGCTAACCAGATTCTCTCTGCTAGGGCACGTGGTGGCTAGAATAGTTACTGCTGAGACCAGGGCTCATTCCAGACAGGACTGTCCAAGGCTGACCGCCAGAAAAGACCCCCCACCCCCTTCTCTCTGTTGGCGGGGAAGGGTTTTCAGGGGGGGTTGGTGGTCCTGGAGGATACTTCATGATAATCTAATCCAGGTGTAAACTTACCAAACGTCCCAGTTTAGTTGCAACAGCCGCAGTGATTTCAGAAAGTATTTTTTCTGATGTCCCTGGTGGATTTGTGAAACTATGGAATGCGTCCAGGTTTAAAATTCTTTGACTTCATGTATGACTCAGATATTGCTACGTGGTGTGCCTACCTGAGTTGTGGGCGGATCTGCAGAGCAGAAGGCAGGGCCTTTGAGCAAACAGGCAGAGCCACATATTCTTAGGTTTTTTTCGGTAAAGTCACGTAGGTAAAAAAATTTAATTAATAAAAGTAAAATTAAAATAAAATAAAAATCACGACGTTTCGGAGGCAACACAAGCTCCCGTCTGCAGGTGGAACAGTCACAGCACGATAGCTGTATCGAGTGAGAGAAATTCCAAGAAAACCGTATTTTTATATATACTGGCAGAGCCACAGTCAGATCGTGTGCACGCAGGGCTAGTGACCGAGTAGGCGTGGCTATGTAAAAGTGGGCGTAACTGACGTAGGGAGTGGGGCTGCCAGCTCACCCACGTGTCTCGGCTGAGCCTCCCAGCAAATGTGTGGTTGAGGGCGAGGGATGGATAAGGGAGCTCGCTTGGCGGATTGTACCACGAGGAACTCCTTGGGTTGGCATCGGAGAGCGTACGTTGCTAGGCGATGTCCTCACACGTTCCTCTCACACGCAGCGAGCCTAGACAATGCAGAGCAGAGGCTAGCAACGAGTGCACAGAGATGTTGCCTGATATGGGGCAGAGGTTGCCACGTGAATATGGGTCGTAGCAACAAAACATTGGCCTACGATGTTTTCTACTCGGACCATGATAGTGACGGTGTTGGGGGGACCTTCATCCAGCTGTAGATATGTGGTGGCTGCTGATATATTTTTTTGATGAGACAGTGAATTATTAAGGTGTTGAGTTTTTTTGTTACATTTTACGTGCATACTGCTGCTAGTGCAGTCCCTTAATTTCCATCTTAACGTTCAAGTTTTCGAGACTGTTAATGCATAATAATGACTCTGTTGTGAATGCACAAACAAACCTAGGACATACAGTACCAGGGTGTTCTGCCATGATTGATATTAATATTATCGGATACTCCTTAGTGCCGTGTCGTGTGAGTTATTCGCTGAAGCTTCTCTGAATTATTGTGTGTGTTTTACAAAGACCGCCTAATTCTTAAATTTGACATAAATGTGACACGTACACAGGCCACCAGACCCGAGCAGACTTTGATAACAATTCACATGTGCTCTTTCATGACAATGTGCATATTAAATATTCATAGACATCTCAAACAGCTCTGCTGCAGCCCAGAGGCAATATTCTGCGAGTGTGACACTTAGGGCGGCTAGCATGCAGGGTATAAAAAGGGTCACAACATTGTACGTAAATAAATAAATGTGTTATTATGTCAATTTAACAAAAATGCATTACACTGTGAATTTTCCCTGGCTTAATACGACTTTCAAGTGCACTCTTCTCACGCATATTATCAACCGTGCTATATCTGCCGCGAGTGAAAATCCGTCAATTACATCCAATATCATAATACGCACACAGTATGCAAGACCGAGTCTTCAACATGGGTGGAGGAATCGGCGTTTGAAGTTCTGTGTAACAGTCGCTGTGGCAGTAGCGATAGCAGAGTGATAAGGAGGCGACGGAGCATTTGCACTAAGGCCCACGCTTTCTTCGCCTCGTCCAATCACGCAAGCTGCGAGACAATTGCCCGTTCAGGCCAAATCGGTGACTGTACTGATGATTCAACTGGACATCTGTGAGAAAGAGCTTCATAGCTCATCGGATTCCTTCAATATAAATGCGTATTCTGATTGTGATTAATATTGAATAAACTGATCTACAGTTGTCACTGTCCTCGCTGCTCTCGTTGATCGCCACATTTGCTCAACGTATTGACTTAATGCAGTTCTTCAGGAACTGGTGGTTTGGCATTTTAGCAAGGCTGAGAGCCTATATTTGGAGCTCGTCTGGGTGGTGATCACTATCTTCTTAATTTGAAGATGAATGTGTTGTTCAAACATTAATGCAACAAGGCATCATGGGAGCAACACGCAGCACCCGACATTCCCTCTCGGAGCAACTGTTCGTCAAGTCTATTTGCTTAACCAGGTGAGATTTCAAGAGGCCAGGGTAGCCTCATTTGCAAGAGATACCGGTTGCTACAACTAAGTGTGCAATACATGTTCATTATCAGCCAAACAAACACGCTCCGCTTTTCATTGCTATCGAATTTTTTTAAGTGGTCTTAAATTATGTATTATGTTTTTTTATGGCAACATTTTTTTGAAGAGGTTATTTTTACAATCCATATGAAACCCAATTCGAGTTTTTCACTGTGAAGAAGAACCCAAGATTATGGGTCGGACTTGTGGGGGGAGGGGGGTCCACAAGAGATTGATTTTAATCAAAATCAGATTCGTGGAGTGAAAGCACTTGACCTCATTACTCTTGGGTCTTTGAAGCTGTTCCCATTCACTCTTACATTGACAAAGGACCTTTTGGCGTTCTCTGGTCTGACACTGGTGAGACGAGGCCATAAAAAAGCTGTCACTGGTGTAGG